GGTGAGGCCTGGTCGGCGTGACAAATAAGAAAATGGGGGGAAGCGGTGTGTGGGGTGGCACGGCGAGCGCTGAGGCGGGTAGGAGTCTTCAGACAGATGGGGGGAAGAGCAGCATCCAGGCATCGAGGTCCAAATTTTTCTCCCTTCGTTGTTGGCAGATGAGCTTCTCAAACGTTAATTTCATTATAAATCTTCGGGAGAAACTTGAATATGCAGACCGAAGGAGCCCTTGCCAGCCAACTCAGGAAATCCTTCCATGCAAAATGTCTTTGTAATTTAATATTCTTTCATATTTCCAAGAGATGGGGTATGTCTGGGAAGTCAGTGGCAAAGTGGGATATATCTGTCTGTTTTGAATCTGCGTTATGTGCCCTGCATGTCTGAAGCATGGGGGGCTAGAAAGTGTTTTCCAGATGCCTGCCCTGCTCAGAGAAGGTGCATGACAACTGAAAGATGACTTTTAACTGATGAAGACTAATTTAGGCTCTTCAGCTGACTGTTCTTGGTTACTTGAACCAGCTAAAAGTACTGTTCATCGCAGTTTTGAAAATCTCTAATGAATTTTCCATAGAGCAAATTAAAGGCGGGCGGCTGGGACCAGTCTGCCTGGAGGGATGAGTTTCTCTGCAGGGGCTCGTGCCTGTGTGACAGGGGCCTTGCTGGGCACAGCAGAGGGGCTGGCATGGCCTGCCAGGTCACACAGGAAAGATGCAGGAGTGTCAGGGGATGGGAAATGGGTAGGTAAGTAAGATGATGTTCGCCATCATGTATGCCAAATTCCAGATTTACAAGGTGTGGGAGGAAAACCTACAAAGACTGAGGAGCTCTCAGGTACTTCTGGTGTAATAGCACATGGGTAGGAAATTTCTCTCCTACACCCGTGTTCCTTGTCTCCCAGCAGTGTGGTCCTAGGGGAGTTAAAGCCTTGAACGCCCATAGCCCCTTTGAAACCAGCTCAGAAGGGTTACAGTGAACATGGCTGGGAGTTGCAAGGAACACTTAGATCTCAGACATTGATTTGGAAATCTAGAAGGGTGCCGCCAGAGAAGGCGTTTAAATCTGGCTGGGAGTCCAGGTTTAGGTAAAATAATTCTTTCCAGGTTTACGGATCGATGGGTTGGGGCATTCATAACGGACAGGTGACAATAAAAATGGAATACACAATTCGGTTTTAACAAGGTTGTACTGATTTAATAAACAAATAAAGCCAACACCAAGCGTTTGATCTTTTCCCTAATCCACACTTCAGTGGCCGTTTAGCTTTGCCTTGGAGCTGAAGTACTCAGACTATCAACTCTCGTCATCAGTAAAATAGTATGTAGTGTCAGAACTATTATACTTCTAACAAATTTGGGTTTTATATCCTTACATTTGTTATACGAGATACTTTGCCTCCCAAGTCAAATTACTAGTATAAGCAATTAATTTGGTGTAGATTCCTTATTTTTAATACACTTGTATTAACACAATAAATCAGAAACAAATCCTAGATTATTCCGTAGCTAAAAAAAGAAAGTATGTATCAAAACCCTTTATGAGCTGTCTTCAATTTAAATAGAAAAAGAGCAAATATAAGTTAGTAAAAATGATGCAAGAAATAAATTTGAAGTGACCTTTGCTGAAGGTTTTTTATGACCCAAGCATAAAGCTGGGAAGGTGTTAGGCAGGCTTCTCTTCGGGCAGAACTGAAGTATTAATGGGTGTCGTATTCTAGAAACTTCACCTGAGTCTCCAAACTTCCTGGTTTTTAATGTTTATTTTCAAGTATTGTTTTCTTGTTAGTGACAAGCGGTATTTTATGTATATCACTGATGTGACCTACAACATCATAACATTTTCTTGTAATCTTGTGGTTACAAGTTTTTCACAAAGTGACACCATCTTTACCTAGAAGTTTTTGTACAACAGGTCATGAAGTAGGACTAGGAATGACAAGGTAGAGGGCTATGCTCCTGAAACTTGGTTTTAGTCTAAGTTAAGGACAAACACAGTGCAGGGCCTCTAGTATGCGCTTCTAGTCACTTTTATTTTTCGCTGAAGAGTGAAATAACCTCTTGCATTCTAAGGCATATGTACACTGTACCTAACATGTAGTTAGATGTGGCAGTTCAAAGATTTCACCTGAAAGTGCCAGGCAAAGTTTGCACATCTCATTAAAATTTTACTTCATCTTGAGCAAGTAGTTTGTGAAGCGCTATGCTGGAGTACTCTTGGTTGTGGACCATGATCTCTCTATCTTCTTGCAGACTTCAGAGAAGTAGTGAAGTTAGCAATTACTGTGAAGTAATACTCAAATATTCTCAATTCTCAGGATTTCATATCTGTAATATAACATAGAAAAAGTCCTGAAATACATTGGCAGAAAGCTGAGTGTCTAGGAGAGGTTCATGCTAGATTTCTGCCTTCCCAGGTAATTATTAGTCAGCAGTACGAAAATTTTGACCACCCCTCCAGCGTCAATGTTGTTGGAGTCCTCAGCCTTTAAATGCAGGTGTAGTTTCTGCTGGTAGACTGTTCCGCTCCTGTATAATTTGCTGTTTGACTGTGGGTTCTGGTATCAACGCAGCCTTGCTGTCTTACCCTAGGTCCACAGCAGGTGTATTTTGCCAGCATACTATTGTAAAACCATCAGAGCGCTCTTAGGATAGCCATTAATTTAGATGCTTTTAGTTAGATATATGGTGTTTTGGATGAGTCTTAGAGAAATCATGATCTGCAAAGTGGTTGAGAGAGGAGTAGGTGCAATTCTGTAATCATGGGATGATTAGGCAATGGTCCATCTTTTCTCAGAAAAGAAGCAACTGGGATTCGCACTTCTGTACCATTTGAAATTCTAAAGGGCTAAAACAAAGCCTGTGGTTCTGATACCATACCCAGTTAAGGGAGGTATGAATGAACACTTAACTGCCAATTAGCTTGAATATATGCATGGCATTTTCAGAATGTGCAAACATAAAAGCTTCAGATAATCTGACCTGTGGTACTCTTAATCTGAATAGTCCTGAAATCTGCTTGCAGATATGATTACAGCTGCTAGTGTCTGGTTTGTTGCCTTTGCTTGCTTGACCTTCACCCTTCTAATTTCAGCAAGCAGCTGAGATCTGACTTGGACCCTGCTTCTTGTACAGCTGTAGCCAGGTTCACATGATCCCTTGGGTTTTAATGGATGGTTCTGTCTAATAATAAGACCCAGTCCGTTAGTCTTTACCCAGATTTTATTGAGTCCCTACCTGGACAGATCCCTGCTGGAATTTACTTTTACTCCCATTATTTTTATTGAAATGTATTTCCTCCAATACTTTTGCTGTTTGTTTGTTGATTAACACATTTTAGAGTACCATTGTAAGTGTAATTTATAAGCAGACTGAAATAAAGGGTGCTGAACATTCTTGGGCAGTCTTGTGTCTCTATCATGTCAGGAGAGGTTAGAGGAAAAGTACCAAGAAAAAGAGAATGTGCTTTTACTGGTCGGGGAAATAACAGCGTAAGGTTTTCAGAACAAAACGGC